ATCTGATTATTTGTAATAGATCGTGAGGTTTCAGGTTTGTTTTGGAATGGCTGTGCATGGAGCAGAGGCTACGCTCTGTGGTTTAACATTAACCTCACTCAGAACAGGCTATGATTCATTTCCTATGTTATGGATTGCAAAGCCATGAACTAATCTCTGCTTCCCTCTCATTGTATCTTACTGTATAGTAGAGGTTGCACTCAAAATGTGAGCGTTGTTTGGACCACTGAGTGATACTTTTCCAAAGCATCAACTAGTTGCCCACAATCCTGTTCAAACACCAGAGCCAATTATCTTAGATGTACTTTAAACAGTTCAGGTCATATCATTTTAGGTAAGTATCTTACCTTTCTTTTCTTTTTTTTAAATAATATGAAATGCATTTTCATATTGAAATTAGATAAAAGGGACATTTACTTTAATTTAGGTATATATTTATCATATTTTTTAATTGGTCATTCATTAAACTTTTCCACAACAAATGTGACTAAAGAGCATAACAGTTGTTTATTCCTCGAATAATCTGATTATTAGTTAAAAACATGAAAGTAGTTGATGTTTGAGAGACCTCTTTATGACCTGTGGATTGGTGAAACTCTGGTTGTGCAACCCCTACTGTACTCACGCTGCTCAGCACTGCACTAACAATGTCCTCAAAGGTACACTGAGCAAACATCATACAATTACATGTATGTTATTAATGTTTATATGTTTAATGTTAGTTCGGTCAAAATAAATGTGATTAATTATGACTCTCACAACACTTAAAGTAGTTCAAAGGATATGTTCACATGTTGTCTTAAAACATTGCTCACATGCTCATGTGTACATTCAAAGAGTTAAAGTATATAGTCATTCCTCCTGTTCATACTCTTTTTTTAATTCCAATGGACTAAAACCATTCCTTTTTTGTCACTTTGACACTGATATCAGGCTTCAGTCATCTGAGTTCAATCATGTGGGTATTTTAGTATAGTCATAGTATAGTTAACATCTTTACCCTTATTATTCCTGCCAAGCTGCAACAGAGGGATAGTAAAACAAGAGCAAATGTCATATTATATGAATAACTTTGCACACTTGTTTTAAGATCAACTTGTATTAATCCCAGAGGGGAGATACAGTTTTGTATAACTATATAGACTACGAAGGCATCGTTTTATTTATATCATTATGTACAGGAGGAAAAGGACAACTGTTGAAATGAACATATGGGTGTGTGAATGAGACATGAACAGACGTGGACCTGTCCTTTAGCACAGTAGGATTTCCACAAACCCTTTTAATACCCAATAATAGTGTACATGTTGCTCAGTTCACCTTGGAGAAAACGTTTTTGTGCTTGATGGTGAGCAACACATATGAGTAAGTGACTGGAAGCTTCTCCGCTGCAGACAGATGAAGTGTTCCTGGAGGCTCAGATCCAGAACATCACCACCTCTCCCATGTTCATGGAGAAGGTCTCCCTGGAGCCCTCCATGATGTACAACGTCACCGAGCTCAACACGGTGGCAGGGGGGGATGAAGGGTAAAATCAGCTTTACATGTATATTCCTTCTTGTTAAGGTATACCACATCAGCTTTTTACACTCAAATCTCAACCCCATCTTTTAACTTCCAGAGAGTCCACATTTGGGAAAATGTCTTACCTGCAGCCCATGGACACGCGGCAGTACCTGTACTGCCTGAAACCAAAGCCGGAGTATGCAGAGAAAGCTGGAGTCATCAAGGGAGTGACGGTGATCGGGAAGCTGGACATCGTGTGGAAGACCAACCTCGGGGAGAGAGGGAGGCTACAGACCAGTCAGCTGCAAAGAATGGTATTAGGATTCTTTTATTTAATGTCCACTATTACCAACATTCAGAACATCCAGTGAAAAAATATGGCATCCATTCTTTAAGTCTGATTTAAAAAAGAACCTCTTCTGGGTTATTTTAGTAGGTTAGGGTTCAAATCTTTCTTAGTTACTTACATTTCAATCATTTTCATAAAGATCATGTTTCAAGTGAAAACATGAATGTGTTTGATACTTTGTAGAACATGGAGTAGTGGGGTAACCGCCAGCCTCTTGTGGCTGAATTGAGTATTACAACAACAAAACAATTTTTTTCGCAAATGAATTTTTTATTTAAGAAGCATTGAAAGATTATCCTGGGGAAAAAACGTTGGTCATCTTTATTAGGTCATCAACACAGGAGAAAGGAATGATTTATTGTAATATCTTTTAATTTGTATTATCTTTATTTCTGTAATGCTTCTATCTGTGTTCTCCAGGCTCCAGGGTATGGAGACATCAGACTGTCTTTAGAGATGATTCCTGACACCGTCAACCTTGAAGAACCTTTTGACATTATCTGTAAAATCACCAACTGCAGGTAAAAATCCCCCGGCCCAACATATGAAACAATAATTGAGAAAACAAGACATGACCCAACAGCATTCTCATGTTGCAGTGAAAGAACGATGGACCTGGAGCTGGAGATGATGAACACCCGGTCGATCCACTGGTGCGGGGTGTCAGGGCGACAGCTGGGGAAGCTCAGTCCTGGAGCCTTCCTCTCTCTGCCCCTCATCCTCCTCTCCTCCGTCCAGGGTCTGCAGGTACGATCCAAACCTTTAGGAAAAGTGTTGCTTCATATCCTCGTGCTGTTCTTGCTGTTCTTATAATCTTTACGTCTTTTGTTTCAGAGCATTTCCGGATTGAGACTTACAGACACATTTCTGAAGAGGACCTACGAATACGATGACATTGCACAAGTGTGTGTGGTCTGCCCATACACGAACAATGAGTGCTAGAACATTTTATTTGGCTTTTTTTGCATTTTAGATATGAATGGACCAACCTTGGGATTCTGCACATGAAGCTCACATTTCACTCTTTATGCAACCTGATGGGATATTACTGTATTTTAAAATGAATTGTGTATAATATAAATCACTTTCTTTGAAATTAATGATGTGCATAAATGTTAATAAAATCTCTGATCTTTGATTTCCTATGGCTTTCTATGGAACCTTTGTTGACTGCACTGAGCATATTTTCTTAAAAATGTGTGTTATAGGGATTTTTGGACATTTCAAACCACATATTTGCCACACATACTAAGGTGACAAAGACATTAAGTAAATTGACCAAGATATTACTTTTAAGACATTTTACAAAAAACTTGTTGGTGGTAGGATTCTCTGGAGGTCAGGTATATTTTTTAATGCATTTACTACGGCCGATACAAACGCACTGCAAGGGCCAAGAAACGAATGAGGAACGCAACTTGACGAAACATGCGCAGTGACTGTCAACACGTGCTGCGGTCCCAGCTGTGTGCATCACTTTTTAGTTTCTCCGTTTCCGTGGTTTTTTTATCTTCTTGCAGCGTTTTGTATTTGCAATGCTTTGTTTATGCAACGCTTTTTGTAAATGGTGCGAATGTTGGTGATTGTTTTCTAAATGCTGCAATGTGTTGTCAAGTTGGTGGAGATGTTTCTTCATCTGCATTTGGTTTGGCAAATGTGTGTTTTTATATTAGCATTGTGCTGGAAAGCGTTCTGCTAATGGAAGTGTTTTGGGCCGTTGTAAACTTCGCCCCTGTCGGCCACCGTAATAACCCGCTATGTAAAGATTTAACACAAGTAATAATACACTCGCTGGCCACTTTATTAGGTACACCTATTCAACTGCTAGTTAATGGAAATATCTCATCAGCCAATCACATGGCAGCAACTCAATAGCCTACATTTAGGCATGGAGAGATGGTGAAGACGACCTGGTGAAGTTCAGACAGAGCATCAGAACGGGGAAGAAAGGTGATTTAAGTGACTTTGAACATGGCATGGTTGTCAGTGCCAGATGGGCTGGTCTGAATATTTCAGAAACTGCTGATCTAGGATTTTCACACACAACCTTCTAGAATAGAGAGGGATGAAACCCTCTTTAATGGGCACACATGCAGAGCACACAGCACACAGTGAAATGTGTTCTCTGCTTTTAACCCATCCTAGTACCAGGAGTCTAGTACTAGGAGCAGTGGGCAGCTATTGTACAGTGCCCGGGGAGCAATGGGAGTGAGTGGGGAAGGGGGATGTCCGGTGCCTTGCTCAAGGGCACCACGGCAGGGCAGGAGGTGAACTGGGACCTCTCCAAGTAGAAGTCCACACTCCATATTTAGGTCTGGGACTTGAACCGGCGACCCTACGTCTCACAGTCCAAGCCCCTACTGACTGAGCCACTGCCGGTTCTCTAGGGTTTACAGAGAATGGTCTGAAAAAAGAGAAAACATCCAGTGAGCGGCAGTTCTATGGGAGAAATCCTGTCAGCTAAGAACAGGAAACTGAGGTTAATATTCACACAGGCTCACCAAACTGGACTAAAGAAGATTGGAAAAAAAATTCCCGCCTGATGAGTCTCGATTTGTGCTGCGACATTCGGACAGCAGGGTTTTGGCCCAACAACATGAGAGCATGGATCCATCCTGCCTTGTATCAACGGTTCAGGCTGGGGGTGGAGATGTAATGGTGTGGGGGATATTTTCTTGCCATGCTTTGGGCCCCTTAGCACCACAGCCTACCTGAGTATTGTTGCTGACCATGTCCATCCCTTTATGACCACATTGTACACATCTTCTGATGCTACTTCCAGCAGGATAACACGCCATGTCACAAAGCTCAAATCATCTCCAACTGGTTTCTTGAACAGGACAATGAGTTCACCGTACTCTAATGGCCTCCACAGTCTGCAGATCTAAATCCTACAGAGCACCTTTGGGATGTGGTGGAATGGGAGATTTGCATCATGGATGTGCAGCCAACAAATCTGCAGCAACTGGGTGATGCTATCATCTCAATATGGACCAAAGTCTCTGAGGAATGTTTCCAGCACCTTGTTCTATGCCACGAAGAATCAAAGCAGTTCTGAAGCCGGTACTGGCAAGGTGTAGCCTACCTAATAAAGAGGCCGGTGAGTGTATAACAATCACAAAAAAGCACGAGTGTGACACGTTGCTGAATTTCAAGACATTTATTCACATGTTTTGGACAAAACATTGTGCTGCCCTAGCATACCTATTTGTTTCCATAAAGCATCTGATCTCAAATACCAGATTTAAGAGCATGCAAAATGATCAATCTTAGTACTCTAGTTAATGAACAATTAAATATGCTTAAAGGGGGTATATTTATTCTTTGCTAAAGTGCAATAACAACATAATGCAGGCTGCAAACACTGCTATACAATTACATTGTTGTCTTAATCAACAGTTAAGTAGTACTCGTTGAAAAGCAGTGATGTGAGTCCAACGTGTTTTCAATACACAAGTAGAGCCTATGCTGTCTACAAAAATAATATTGAACTGGATGCAATATAAACCTGGTGTGTTTTTCTATGAACAAACGCTGAATGTTTCCTGCAGTCCTCCCTACTCTCTAAGTATCATGAATAAACAGAATGATCCCTAACTCATAACATGAAGCGGGCAGTATTTTCAGCACATATAAAACACAATTTCAGCAGGATGTAAAAGCAAGCTTCTTGGCTCTTTTTATGATTAAGTCTTTCAAATGTGTTTTGCCCTTCATGTGTAGGATGCTTAATTTGATGGTCCAGTCTCTAGGTCTTCACCTCTCTCCGCCTCAGAGTTTTTATTCACAGTAAAGTGCCTTCAACCCGATCCTTGTCTCTTCGTTCCAGCTGTGCCGGGGATTTGATTTCAAGAAATGGGTGTAGAGATTGTAATCGCGCCATATGGTTGCCCTTCCTTGGAAAAAAAATGTGAGACTGGAATATAAAAAGAATACATGTTAATGATATATATATTTATATACGGGCAGCTAAGATTTGGTTTAAAAGTATAAAGACCTTATCAGATCAGGAGTGCTCCTCCGCGCTGCCGCTGAACGAGCGGCTCCGGATGTGGTTCCTCAGCTGCTCGATCAGCTCGGGGTTCTGCTGCTGGATCTGCTGCGCAAACTGTTGACCCCTGACAGACCAACCAGAGAACTGTGTTTAAAACAATAGCTTACAAAAAGCAAGATGAGAAATATCTTAGTTTTTAATATGCAGTAGAAGAAATTCCTTTTTGATAGAAGCCTTATTTCCTCACCTTGTTGACATAAGTAAAAGTATTCTGACGCTGGGCTACGTGGGAAAAAGTACTATAAACAGAGCCACTGCTTCTCAATATCTAAGGGGTTTGTGGTCTGAAAATGTCACCTCAATTTAGGGAGTTATTACATTCTGTTTTAGCCTCCACCAACGTGTATAAGGTAGTTTTGAAAAATGCTTGTTGAGGTGCATTGCTCCTGCATCAAATTTCACTTGATGCTGCAGAAAAGTACACCACAAACTGGCTTTGAGCGTCAGTGGGCAGCATGCCCCGTTGGAATCAGATATTCATATGACATTGTTTCAGAAATGTTCAAAAATGTTTTATTGTCAAGAGTTAGATGAGAAGATCTATATCACTCTCAGGATTGTACCACAAATGTAAACATGTTGCCAGTAGATAGTTAGACTAGACTGGAACCATTCAAATGGATTCCTGTGGTTTTATATTTGTCGTACAGACTGTAACATTTTGAATAACTACTTTAATGTCTTATATTTAAATATGTTGAACTCATTCAAAACTCTCGACAGTTAATAATAAACAAGCAAAAGTATTTTCATCTATTTCTATGTACTTACGCTTCAATCAAACTGGAGATGTCCGACAGTCCCCCGACTCCTGCTGCAGGACCCCCGACTGCATTAGACATCATTCCTGACATACTGACCCCCAGAGACACAGAGACAGGGAGTCAAATCATGCTTCTTCTGCACTTTACTCTGAAGGCAACAATTCATTCTGACACTCACAGCTGTTGCACTTGTTGGTTCTGCATCACGCTTGCAGCCTGTGGACAGAAATCAAGTTTTTCATAGATGTATTAAAAGGACGATTCATTTCTGATTATCTCGTGCGGTCCAGCTGTATACGGACAGATGATTTAGATGTATGTTGTCATTGTTGCTGCAGTAAACTCTGGTATGCTTGAAGAAGCGTTCTTGTCCTGGCAGACGTTCCCTTGTGTCATCGTTTAACGAGTCCGCACTGTCAGAAACCCAGGCACTGTGCTTTCCCCTCCACAATAATCTGGTTGATTAATGGGCTAACTGTCACTCATGGGGCTAATTAGGATAAAAGAATCTGGTCTAACCTTCACAGAGACAAAACAAGCAGACAACACCTGTCTCCAGGACAAATGTTTGCTAAACAGCGCTAACCTCTCAGGCTTTATGTGCAGTGCATACATTCAGACTCACCATGCTGATGAAGGCAGGGTTGTTGATTAAACTAGCCATGTCGAAACCCAATCCAGCAGCTATCTGTGGCACACATTCAAAAGGTCAAAATAAACATGGCTCGGATATGTATGTGAGCTTTGATGGGATATAACTAATGTTACATAATAAAATGAGGTAAAGACAGCTTGCTTTTACTCACTGGGCTGCTTGCTTCTTTCTGCTTCTGCTCCGCTATCTTCAGGTTGGATTTATAGGTATCATTATCTGGATCTAATACCAAAGCTTTCTTGAAGAAGGAGATTGCCTCTGGATACTTGTTCATGGCTGTCAGAGCCAGACTGCAGCCACAAAATAAAGACACAGACCGCATTTTCTCAGACCTTGAAATATCATTGAGACAGAAAAATCCTTGTTTTAAAAACGCCTAACATGAAACTCACCCCATCCTCCCGTACGCTTTGCTGTAGGTAGGATCAATCCCAATGGCTCTCTCGCAGTCACCAGTTGCCTCTGTGTAGTTTCCCAGTTTACTGTGAGCCGCCGCCCTGCAGAGGGTTACATTCAGACCCCATGCTTAACTTTATAACTGTGTGTTATACATACATAACACAAGGAAGGGATTTAATCAACAATTTAGTTCTCCTGTTCAAATGTGCTTGTGTGCTGTAGTATATAATATGTAAACCAGTACAAGTTAGGTGGAGAACATTGACAGTAAATCCTGTTGCTTGCAGTTGTAAAGACCTGTTGCAGTAGTACACAGCGTTTCTCAGGTCCAGGTCAATGGACTTTGTGTAGCACTCCACTGCACATCTGTAGTTCTCTTCTTTCATGTGATTGTTCCCTGAAAATAAAATGGGTAGGGGTTAGGGTTGGAAAAAAATATGTTGTTTAGCATTTTTTGCCAAAGTTATAATAGATGCATCATAGTTTTACTTTTTGTCATGGCTTTTTTAAATAAATGATGCAAATGTATCAACAATTGATGTACAAATAATAATTCATATTGGGATGAACGTGATATCAACATTAAGATATATTCATGGTAAAGGTCTCAATGTTGTCATGGATATCATCAGAATTTCATTTATAGGCATACTGTCTCTATATTTATGTTCTAGTTACCTAGTAACCTCTTCTGTATGATTTGTGTTTAACAGAGCACAAGCACTTTATGGTGCTACCAGGAAGGCTACAGAGGAATGCTAAGTTTTAGTTGAGTTATAGTAACAATTAACGTTTGACTTTACCTTCATTTTTAAGTTGCTCCGCTCTTTCAATGTCTTCTGGAGATGGGGAGGTCTCTGGTATGGTAATATTGTCATTCTAAGTAAATGTCAAATAAAAGAGTCATTACTTCTAAGTGAACAGTGACTGAATTGTAAACAAAAATACATTTATTATAATGGAGATTTTGACCTTAACAGGAGGGAAAGCAGGTGTAACTCATTGTATTGGATTGGATTTCTATATGCTGGCCATTACCTAATGGCAGTGAGCCAGCATGCACAGGCACTCCTTAAATAAAGATGTAGTAACAGTTATATTGACAATATATGTCTGCCATAAGAAAGGCTTATAGTGTTGACTTTGAGTTTGTATGTGCCATACATAATGATGAAATATCGTACCTCCTTCATATGTTAAAGCATGGATGGTGCATCACCCACCTTAAGCAGGGAGTTGAGGAATATGTCTGTCAGAGGCTGTGGCACAGCGAGGTGGGAGTCACTGGAGCCGATCTTAAAGGTCGTCTCCAAACACTGTATGGCAACTGCATTCACAGAAAGATGTTGACCAGATAAATAACATTTGTGAGATTTTAAGTTGCCAGCCAAACAATTGGTCTTCACAGTATTTTTCTGGTGAGATGGTGAGTCAGAGCTTGGCTGCTCATTCAGAGTGAGACATGTTTCTATCTGTTCATATGAAACACACCACCACAAGTACTGAACACCATGCCCTAATTCCCAGTCTAGTGTGATTCTTTATCTTTTATTCTCGCTTTATAAGGATAGTGAGATGAAAGCATTAATCTGCTGAAATGAACAAGACAGAAGCATGTTGTCCTATATTTGTGAAGTGTAGATGCACAGCGAGTTGGCCTATACCTTCGAGGCTCTCCTGCTCATCAGAATTCAAAGCGCCCTGATGTGTTTGATCTCGTAGGAACTGCACAATAGAGAATGCCAGACGCTTCTCCACTGCCATTTTTATCTGGAAACTGCTGCACACAGGAAGTTGTTTGGGATGGAACAGAAAAGACAGCCACAAAAGAATGACTATATTTATTCATAGGTTGGCCCTTTATAAACACATGGTAAGATAATGAATAACTACAAGTTGTCACATGATAAATAATGCAAGATAAACTTAAGGTTAAACTGTTGGCCAGATGCAAACATCCAGGGTCAACAGAAGTTATCTCTAAAGTTACCTCACAGTCAGATACAAAATCGATACTAGGTCGATTTGTCAATAAGCACCTGCTAGATATTGGTGGGTTTAAGTTAATACATGTCTTCAATATCTCTATTGAGATTCTTAATATTCACTAACCCTAACCCAAACCCTAGCCTCAACCCTCACCCTAACCCAGCAACAAATAAATGTCATGATAAATTATTTCAAACTCATGTTCCATACCCTTTTTGCATCTTACTACTAGTTTGATAAACAGATTCACATTTCTATCTGAATGATCCTGATCTTTGGATCGGAAATGATCCCTTTTCTAAGTCACAGGTTTCCATTATTGATCAAGGTACATTATTTCATAGTCAAAGACCCTGCACAATCCTGATATATGTTAGGTATGTGGTGGTGAAATAGGCCTATGGGTTTTGTATGGTTTGTTGAATTATGTCAAATCCGAACCAACTCTTAAACAGTGTTGGGTTATGTTGTTATAGTCCTTAACATAGGCCTCAAAAGAATCTTCAAGATTCACTACAACTCAAATGATTGTTGGTTATTAATAAATTGCAGTGGTTAAGAAGTTTGCATAACACATGGATTAATGTGAACCCTGCAGGGGACGCAAGGAGCTCTGTGTTTACACCCACTGCTCACTAAAATGAAATGACCACAATATAGGCTCAATAGCAGAATGTTGCCCCGGGGTCCTGCTAACAGGTTGATTTAGTTATTATTCTATTAACTCCGGCAAAATAAGAAATTATGCTGTCGGTGCATGGTTCTTGTTTGCAAGACAACTCAGAGGTGGATGAGAGCTAAATTATTATTGTATACTATACACCAACAAAAAAAAAATTGCTCCATTAAAAAGATGGCCGTTTTTCATCTGTCTGACCGAAGCAGTTCCACAGAGATTGGCTCAGCAACCAAAATGTAAACAGACTCTATGAGGAAAATACATCGCAGACACAAACAAACAAACAAACAAACAAACAAACAAACACTGCCTCATAGTCATATCTCCATCACACTTATGCCATGCGTTGCTAGGCTCATAGTCGGGCTCAGCCACTCCTCCTCAGTGTGTTGACACCATGGATGTATAATAAGAACGGTTGACACCATAGACTGACACACGGACATGCAGTGATGCGGAGGTTGTGGTGTAATACCATCATAGGAGACGATGTGTGTTTTGATTCATTATGCAAGCATTATTATTGAATAGCCTAAATCCAATGCATTCGAGAAAACACAACCACTGGCACATGCAGCTGTTTGTCATAAAGCCTGTCTTCAGGATAAAATCCGCTGATCGCCACTGTGCAGATTGTGAGGCTGAAACAATCACAACCTGCTGTCAGGGCAGCAAAACATGCAGGAGGAGAGGGAGGAAAGGACCTCAAATCACCTAAGTAGCACTATAAATCACATTTATAAATAACATTGTGTCAAAGGATGCCACTCGGAACCCCCCGCCCACCTACCTGAGCTCTTATCCAGCTGTCTGTGCCGCCGCGTCATGAGGACCTGTGTCGGATTTGATCGCATCTTCTGCGCCTGCGCCTTAAAAGCGGAAATAAGGAGCCTTTTCCACATTTCAGAGGAGAGGGTGCCTGCTGCTGCTGCTGCTGCTCTCTCTGTCCCTGCACAGAATGGTTTGGACTGAGCCACAGTAAGAGGAACAGAAAGGGGCTTTTTGTTTGCACGGAGAACGCATGAACCGCTGGCATGTGTGCGTTAAGAGTTATAGTGTGCCGCGCGCTGTACAGGTATGATTCTGGATATGTTAAGACTGTTCATTTAACACCAGTGTGATTTGCTTCATTAACTTACTAGTTTGCTGTTATTTCATTTACCACCTGTTAATCATAGTAAAAAGGATGATAAAATAATGCTCCATTCACTCCTGCTCTTTAAAGGAAAGCGCTGAAATGTTTATAAGTCTTGGCAGAGGTTTGTCACAGCTGCCTTACTATTTATGATCTTGTTTTGAAAGGCTTCCGCTGTCATGCTATGAAACTCTACCCTGAGTGGGAAAAGGCCCCCTCTTAGCATGGAAAAAATGCAGAGCACGTTTCAAGTGTGACCTTGAATAATGAACTGCTTACAGCGGCCTTGTGCCACCTGTTAAATTAAATCTGAACTGTAATTCTGATTAAAAGTCGTAGTAACCTGAGATGTCTAATGTTTTACAGCGTCTCTAATCCTCTGCTGAGAACCACCATCCAGAATGGATCTGTGATATCTGCCAGAGACTGCTCCCTGGCAGGAAATAAGAGACACGCTTTGAGATGGGACCTGACCCCGGATGATATCCGGACCTCTACAGACAGCTTGATAAACAGAGTAAAAGCTGTCTATGATGACATCGGGTCTCTAAAGATAGAACATGTTTCAGTTGAAAACACCCTGAAAGCCTTGGCTCATGCCAAGCTGGATTATGCATGTAAGTGTTGAGGTATAAATCTTCTGGTGATAATGTACATGTTTCTTGTTGATAAGAACCGCGTGACATTTGGAGCCAGAGCCTCTGTGCCAATATGCTCCATTGTTGTCCAAAAGCTATATAAAACACATAAATGGGCCTCATTGTTAAACGACGTGACACTTTGCATTATTACCATGAACTAAAGTATACGTTCAGTCCCATATACTGTACATCTACGTATTAACTATAGCACAACATTTGTATTAATCCCCAGCTGAAAATAGTTTCGATTTTCAGCTTTTAATGGGATCTTTTGACAAAAAAATATATGTAATAACATTTTTTATTTTTTTTTATTTTTAATTGTTTATTTGGCAGGGACAATGCCCAGTAATGAACACTTAAAACATTAAAATGTGTCAAGCGTAACAGTGCCAGATTTAGCTTTGAGCTCATTTCCATCCGCAGTCCCTCACATAAAACATTTAAGAAGATTACATTTTACAAACAGAATGGGTTACTTCATGCATTTTCCTATCTGGCACAATGTTAATGCTGTCTTTTTGTCTGTTCTGTTCCCTTAGCATCGCTCCATGTGCTTGATTTCCCCCAGTACGTCTGTCCTTCTAAAGAGGTTCGGGCAGCGAGCACAGAGGCCGACAAGAAACTGTCTGAGTTTGACGTGGAGATTAGTATGAGGGAAGATGTTTTCCAGCGAATCACAGCGCTGCAGGTACGCCTCATATCACATCCACTTGAACATCCACATCACGACATGAGGGGAGTTAGGTTAGTATAAAAATGTCCCTCTAATAAAACACCCAGTCAACTCGATAATCGTGTTAAAGTATTGTTAACGGTAAAATACATGGATTTTGAAGCTTGTTGAGGGGTTGGTGCATTTATCCAAGTAGCTATGCCAATGACAAATTGGCAAGGCCTGAAGTACAGTAACCTTATTTGACTCCACCACTGATTCTCTTTTACCATGGGAAAGTAATTGAATCTGATCTTTTCCGTGGAAGCCCACGCCATATGTCTTTCTGTGAATGAGTGGCTTGCTCACTTGCAGCATAATTACAAGTGAGTAAATAAGATGTGTGTTTTTGTGAATATTTTTTCACAGAACAAGCTCCAAGATAACCTTTCACCTGAAGAGAAGAGGTTCTTAGACAGACTTGTTACATTGGGCAAGCGGAAAGGACTGCACTTGTCTAAAGATATGCAAGAGGTAAGAAGAATAAGTGACTTAATTAGTAAAGCTACTTTAATTTTGACCATATAAATTGCATTGAAGAGTTTGTATAATGAAAGCAATTTGGTAAGTTTAGGTTTGAATGTTTGGCTGATGGGATAGTGGTGGTCTAATGGATAGTGAGGTGGGCTGAAGATCAGAAGGTTGTGAGTTCAAATCCCGCCAGGAACACCACCACTAGTGTGCCCTTGAGTAAGGCACTTAGCCCTCAGTTACTCCAGGGAGAATGTCCCTGTAATTGGTAATTGTAAGTCGCTTTGGATAAAAGCGTCAGCTAAATGAAATGTAATGTAATATTTATATTTCACGGCCTGTCTGAATCTGTATGCTTATTATAATACATATTTCTTCAATCTTATAATTCTTCAACTATCATGTCACATACTTGAAAACAATATATAAAAACATAATTCCTGATGACTCCTTTTCTTTCTAAAGGAAATAAAAAGAAAATCCAAGCTTATATGTGAACTCTCCATAGAGTTCAACCAGAATCTGAATGAGGACAATACGTTTCTTGTTTTTTCTGAGAATGAACTCGGTAAGCCTATACACAATACAGTAAGCCTGGGAGACTGCCGGATTTTATTAAAATTGATGTTGTTAACTTTCTGTTAAGGTGGGCTTGCTGACAGCTTCCTCAATGGACTGGACAAGACAGCAAACGGGCGGTATAAAGTGACACTTGAATATCCCCATTACTTCCCGCTGATGAAGAGGTGTCATAACCCTGAGACCAGGAGGAAGATGGAAACAGCTTTTCACAGCAGGTGTAAAGACGTGAGTGAAGTCCGATAACAAATCTGTGCTTCCTACACCTCCCTGAACCCAGTAAGAACTGTCTGTTTCAGCTTCAGTTCATCCATATACTGTTCACATGCAGAAATAGTGGTGTCACTAGCAAGTACTATGCTAAAAGTTTCAAATATAACCTCTCTAAACTCTCTCTTATACAAAACTTATATATATTTTGCCTTGCCCAAATAGTAATTACAGACATACACACAAGGATATCAGAGGAGGTCATGCATGCACTAGTATATCCGTTAGTTATTCCATCTCATTTATATCTGCCGTACTGTTTACTGTTCACTCTCCAGGAGCCGTAGCTGTATTAAATGACTGCTAATGTAAACCAGTTATTTCCCGCTGCTGCTTGCCAATTAAAAGTATTTAAGTGGTGAAACACAATGTAAAACAATAACAAGCATTCTCAGTGACCTGTTTCCTTCACAGTTGCAGGTGAAAGGTTGCACACATGACGCTGCAGTGTGGAAAGCTACTTATGCAGCCTGAAATCAGACCCTTGCTGTAACTCTCAAGGAAGAGTGCCAGCAATTGAGTGATTTCTTTATTAAAACAATATGAGTTTGTTATGCTGCACTGTAAACAGATACTCCAGCTGCTCTTCTGTATATTGTTGCTGCACCTGCTGTTACCACACGTGTCGCCAAATCAACCAGGACTAAAATAGATATTTTTTAAATTTTAACCATTATTTGATCTGCATATCTCTTTCTTCCACTTTCTTTTATTTCAGGTTAACACAGCAATCCTGGAACAATTGATACAGCTGAAGGCAAAGGTTGCAGACTTACTTGGTTACACTAGCTATGCGAACTATGTGCTGGAGATTAACATGGCCAAGAATGCAGGCAATGTGTCTGACTTCTTAGGTATGACAGCTTTGACATTGCACCACTCAGGCACACGCACACATAAAAGACATGTAATTTAAGACGAGACCATCTTTTAACAGCCTTGCATCAGAAAGATAAACTTCATTGGACAGATGGGTGGGTTCAACTGTTAGACAGAAACCCTACACCTCATGCCTGTTGAGTGTAACGTTGTAAATGTTGCACTTCATGCCTCTCCTATGTAGTGTCATGTAGCCTTCATGATCAGCGTCATATATCTCAAGTGAAAAATGGCTGACTGAGTGTTGTCAGTGGCTTGTTATTGTATTACAAATCCATATAAACGAGAGATAATTGATGATCTTTTTAAAAAGTAGTAATTAATAGTAGTTTTAATTGTTTTAGATACAAACAAGATCCCAGATCTGAGAAAGGACTGAGACTTTGTGCTTTACAATTAGACATATAGAAAAAAACAATAATGAAATGATTTGAAACTTTTTGGAACATTTATTTATCTTGTTTTTGTTCTAACTCTAAAGATACCTTCTATGAAACACTAAAGCCCATCGGAATCAAAGAGAGGAAATATATTCTTGCACTGAAGAAGCGTGAGTGCTTGATGAAGGGCTTCCAGTATGATGGACAGATCAATGCCTGGGACCTACCCTACTACATGAATCAAGTGGAGCAGTGCAAGTTTGCTGTGAACAAAGACAAACTCATTGAGTATTTCCCTCTTGACGTGGTGACAGAGGGACTGTTTGGTATCTACCAGGAGCTGCTGGGTCTTACATTCACACAGGTGGAACACGCTAATGTGTGGCATGAAAATGTCAAGCTTTATTCTGCCCGGGACACTGAAACTGGAGAGGAGATCGGCCAGTTCTACATGGACTTGCATCCGAGGTAAAGAAAGTGTCACTGTAGGACTGCAGCTAACAAGTGTTTGCATTAGCGATTAATGTCCTGATATATCTTTGATTCTTTGATTGATTTTTATCATCTATATAATGTCATACAATTGTGAACATTCCAATTATATGTAAACTGCATATTTTCAGAAGCCCTAACTGGGGCATTTGTGCTTGAAAAAGGATTAATTTAATTCGGAAAATAATTGCTGATCCATTTGCTGTTGATCAACCTATCGTATAGCTCTAATCAGTTCATTCACAATCATAAAAAAATATTAAGGCTATCTGTGACAATAGCCCTTAATCTTTGTAATGTCATTAGTATTAATGCTCTGATTGAGCCTGCTGTCTGACTGTGTAACTTCATCTTCCACCAGGGAGGGGAAGTTTGGCCATGCAGCGTGCTTTGGACTGCAGCCCGGCTGCAGGGGACCTGATGGAAAACGCAGGCTTCCAGTGGCGGCCATGGTGGCTAATTTTACCAAGCCCAGAAAAGGTTGGCCCTCCCTCCTCCAACACCATGAGGTGGAGACTTATTTCCACGAATTCGGTCATGTTATGCATGAGATCTGTTCTAAGGTAGGTCACTTTGAATATCAGCAGCTTTGTGTGAGTTTAATATAGTATTGTATATGAATTAGAGTGATGGAGATTGTCCTGTGTTTGTTACAGGCCACTTTTTCAGAATTCAGTGGAACCCTGGTGGAGACAGACTTTGTGGAGGTGCCGTCGCAGATGCTTGAGAACTGGGTTTGGGAGAAGGAGCCTCTGAGGAGAATGTCCCGCCACTACAAGGACGGCAGCCCAATCCCAGACAATCTGCTCGACAAACTGATTGCATCTAGAGTCGCCAATACTGGTGAGAAACTGGAGTTTTCTGTTAATTCAAAGATTAAATGTGTAGAACATTTATAGAGAAATCAAGGGTCTCTGACTTTTCTATCCTCTTCAGGACTGATGAACCTGCGCCAGGTAGTCCTTGGTAAAGTTGATCAGTCTCTACACAGCTGTCCAGATGCTGATACAGCTGAGGTGTTTGCAAAGCACTGCGAGGACATCCTGGGTGTTCCTGCTACACCAGGTCAGTAGTTACTTTAGCAACAGTAGATTTGCAAGGCCATTTTTTCTATTAAGCATATATTTAGAGAAATATATGCATTAACATTTTTCTCAGTGATTGAGAGCATTTATTTATCAATTGTCTCTTATAAGGATAAATAAATACTTGCATTGTTACATTTAAAATTGACAGAAAAGCTCTTTGTGTTTAATTTAGTCTGTGAATGTCAGCTGTATTGTATGTAATAACAAAGCTCTGTTCTCTGCAGGTACCAATATGATTGCCAGTTTCAGCCACTTGGTTGGAGGATATGATGGACAGTACTACAGCTATCTGTGGAGTGAAGTTTACTCCATGGACATTTATTTTAGCCGTTTTAAAAAGGAAGGCATTATGAATCCAAAGGTAGGTGTGATTATTACAATATATCATATACATTTTCTTGTAAGCACACATCTCACTTTAAAATATATTTATTAGGTTGGAAAAGAGTACAGAAGGGTGATCCTGGAAGCTGGTGGATCTGAGGATGGCATGGACATGCTGAAAACCTTCCTCGGCCGTGACCCCTGCCAGGACGCCTTCTTTCAGAGCAAAGGACTGATTAAGTCACAGAAAACACAGACTTTGTAATTTGATATATACTGTAGAACTGTTTTTTTGTCAAACCATTTAATATTTTTGTACTTTTTGTATGAAGATCCACCTTAAAAAAATGACTTTTCTTGAAGTGTATTGAAGACTGGATCATTTCTACCTGCTGGCATTTTTTCAAATAAACTGTAAATCATGTAGGATCCTCATGATTGCATGTACAATTGTGTAAGTGTTAATAATTACATTTACAATGATTTTGTTATATTTAAGTGTCCTAGTAAGCCAAAGCAAAAGACACCATGCACAAACCTAGACCCTATGACTATGAAAACAAGCAGCTAAATGTGAATAAGTCAGCATTCATTTAATTATTAACACCATCTGTTTTCTACTGTGACATGTGAACATTTCTTCTGTGAAAAAGGCGTAGTTTTGTGTGCACAGCTGCATGTTACCATTGTAAAATACATTTTTTTTTTTTTTTTTTAATTGATAATGATTTTTTTAATTTATAGACTACCAATAGCTTATGTAGGTGGATATGCAGAACACAATTGTTATTGCATCTTTGAATTAGTTGTCCTGTCAAATTTCCATTCATTTTATTATGTTAGACTGAAATATGTATTATAATAAGCATACAGATTCAGACAGGCCGTGATAGGATACTATGGTTAACTTTCAGAGATTCTTATATATGCATTCTAGGATCTCAAAACTGCACGTACTAGGGCAACATTGCTTACAAAACCTTAGTGTAAATACATATGTTGCATTAAGTTCCCTCCTTTAAAGGGGAGTAGGCTCTTGTAGGAAATATTTAAAGAAACTGATTAAGAAAATGTGTTCATAATCACAAAAAGGTTTGCATTATTTAAAATGCTCCTGCATTAATGGAGATATAAACACCAGGGGGCGCCACAAGATAGCATAAACTGGAATTTTACTTCGAAATAGTAAAGAAAGATACATTTAATCGTTGGGATAACACTTTCTCTGTTGATAAATACATTTTTTTTTTAATTAAATAATGTACATTTGACTGTCATGAGGGGTGAGACTGTTGTTAATAGTGCAAACACCTTTATGGTTGTAGGTTTGTTTAATAAAATGTCTTATTTTCCATTGCTTCTAGTCTGTGTGATTACCTTCCTTAACCTAATCAGAAATGTTGTCGAGCAAATAGATGGGTGATACGGGGATTCATTAAAAGTGTCTGGGAGAGATAGTGAAAGCATCACCGCGGGGCTCGGTGCAGCTGGAAGGAGACTTCTGGTGGACAGCCTCCTCCTACATGTAGGCACAGAGGTCGCAGAGAAGAAACCCACCGCTCCATGTTTGCTCTTAACAGCCTCAATGTAGCTTCACTCGACTCTTTCATAGCAAAAAGGAAACGAAATTATGAGTGAAAACATCTGGGAGCGGCGTACTTTACATGAAAAGGTTTCGCTTTGCCTCGCATTTTTGCCTTTTGTATTTCCTTGCTGAATGTCGTGGACATTTTGGATTTTTTTGAATGCTCTTGTGTCATTAAGTCTTACAAATTAAGGACAATTTTTTTCAAATTTCATCCCGTTCGGTTAGTTGTCTTTATGTGAGCTGAATACTTTTACGTGTGGGGGACGACAACGTAAAACAACTTGAGGACGGCTCTGCTGAGGAGAATGTGCGAACTGGGCCAGCTTCGAGTTGCTCTTTAATGGGGCAGCATTAGCTAACTGCTAACTAGCACACCCCTATTGAACTAACCTCAAGCAAAGCTAGCTGATGCCCGCTTCTCGACACGTTTTCTTTGGATACTAACAACCTGCTCATAACCCTGATATCGTTGAATGAGACGCTGACTCGAAAGCAATTCAGGTAAGAGTCTTTGTTTGTTACTGCTTCTGTGTTTGTGTGTGTGTGTGTGTGGGGGGGGGGGGCAGCTAGCATTACGGCTAGCTGCGTAGCGCAGCGTCGTTGAGGTCCCATTCTGGCGCTGTCCGACTTGAGTCTTATGTTATTAATTCAGTAAATTCGAAAAAACAATTCAACCAAAGCACAATTTACGAAGCTCTGTAAATATGCAGAGCCACAAAATTACCCGGAATACAAACATCTCGGGAAACATTTAGTTTAAGCTGGTGTGTGTGTTTGTGTCTGTTTTCAAAGTATGGTTGGGAGGCAATTTTTTCATCAACCTTGTTGTTCTTCAATTAATGTATTTTTTTGTGTGTTTCATATATATATTTTTTGTATATTTTGTATTTATTTATTTTTATTTGTTTGGAGGAAGTTAAATGTTGTGTCATGTTTACATTTAGAATGTAATGTATTCAAACCCCCATTCATTCAGTAACATTAAAAGTATACAAAAACACTTAAATCCAAAAAAACATATTTTAAAACGTATCAGTTATACAATCATCATAATCATGTTTCTGTTTGTTTATAATAGGTAGTCACTAGCAATGTAAGCAGCTGTCTGTATTTTGGGTTAACAGCTGTAACGTCACATGTCTGCCTGTTTGCAATGACTGCCTCCTTATCCACTCAGTGCCTACATCTAATATAGCGCAGTCTGGTACCATTTAAAGTATTAGTCAACAATATGAGTATATTTTAATGCCTTCCTCAATATCACTAACGTAACAGCTGCACTGCAACAACAGCAGCAGTCACATCTTTTGTTGCGGAGCACCTTCAGCCCTTCGACGGACGAGGGATTAGTGAGATCTACACCCAACATCTCGGCGTTTTCATTTTCTCACCACTTCACTAATCAGATTACTATCCCCATTTAACTCCTATGTCATTTAATCCCGTTAAGATTTGAGATGGATGCGGTGCTAATCTCCATGTTTGTTTTTTAGGAATTTAAGCAGGTCCATGCATCACCGTTGACTTTTGTTGCTTTGAATTAACTGTTGTTTTGGAAATTACACCAAATCTCTGAAAACCATAAAGCACAAAACGTTCTGGTGAAAATGAAAGAAACCCGTTGGTGCATTTATTTGAATGACATCTGTGAATGCTTTGTGGTGTGGTTTTAACACACTATTGACAGCATGACATGTGTGCAGGCTATACACCAAAACTAAACCTATATCAACTAATACTTGAAAGTGACAGACGGGCTGTTTTATGTTTGCCAAACAGAGAATATAGCATGTTAAGATAAACCAGTTATTTATACATCATTCCTCCAGCCTGCTTGTTGAAATACAGAGAAGGCTTCCTTAAATCTCAAACCTTGAATTTGATGACTGGCATTGTCATGGAGGAAAACAGATACACTCTGGTCATCCTTCAAAGGCCATCCTTGCTGAGACTAGACTATCAGCTGACAGTTGTCATGGTTGTAGGCCTATAAACTGAGAGCTGGTGGCCAGCTGTTAGTAGATGATTATCCAGCTCTTCATGATAACATTGACTGATGATTATCCTGTTATTTATGATAATATTGATCAATAATATGTAAAGTATAACATTTAAATGTCTCCATAGTTTGTGGTACTGTCTATAAACTGGATAATATGCTGCCCACCTTTCCCCTATTTCAATTTGTGATCATTCATCTAATTATATGCAAGACTGATCTTCACGATATACACTGCACAAATCACATAAAGACTGCAGTGGCATGTTTCCATTGAGGTGTTGGTGGACAGCACCTCAATGGAAGTTCCTTGTATGATCATTTACAACAGACCTTATCTAGAATGGAAGATAAGGTTCGCTCTAACAAAGGCCCTCTATTGCACTGTTCTTTTCTCACCCTAGTAGCAGAATAGTGTTTTTCTAGTACTTGCCAAACAGTTTGTTTTGCCACTTGTTGACGGAAAGAAAGCAAAAACTTTACAAAAGCCTTCGACAAAAGCACCAGAGTCATGTTTCCTTATCTTCATTACACACGAAAAATGTTACCCTGGTTTCATAATGGTTAATCCAAAGTCAATAAAGCTTCCATTGTGATTTTTTTCCATATCTCTGTGACTTGGACAAATACATCTTTTGAATGATTAAGCCTAGGTCACCCAGGTTAAAATAATTTGCTGCCCTTAAAATATTAGGTTCAATAGTTCAAAACTCAGCCTGGATGGCAATATAGGGTAATACCTAACAAATGGATGTTTTTACTTCCTAAAGTTGATGTAATTCCTGTTGAAAAGGGAAACAGTGAACGATCATCCTGAACTGTGAACCAATGGCATATCAGTTAAGGAGAGAATGGCTGTTGAACCAAAATTGTATTATTCATGCCTGAACACAGGGCTGTGAGCAGAGGTATTGTGGGAGTATCGTTTCATCTTCAGGTGTGTTTGACTAATGACTCTTTTTATCAGATGGGGAAGTTTAAAAAAGAAAAAAATGTTTTACAGCTTGTGTGACCATATGAGTGCAAATTGCTTTCCCCAACTACAGCAAGACTAGCCTTGAATTGATTCTTTTGGCATTTCTGCTTTTGTGGTGAAAGGGAAAGAGAAATATGCTCAAGCAATGTGTCAACAATGAAGCTGTTGTCGTGTACCAAATACATTTGTGGTTATTGATTGAATTCTCTTCTGACACAGTTAACTAGTTGCCGATAATGGTATAAAGCCTTGGAGAAAATATCTGTGCTTGTGACACAATTAACGACATTTCCAAATTCGGAAATTATTTAGGCTATATCTTTGATGACTATAAGATTGCCCTCCTATCCTTATAGCTGATTCAGTGCAGATAGATGTAGAATGAGAGTCAAATAATAAATAATTGTCACACCTTTCCTGTTTTATAGTAAATTCAATATCTTTCAGATTTGGACTGTTGGATGGCTAAGACAAGTAGTTTGAAGACCTTGTGCTATAAACCATTCTGATTGGCATTTCATACCCCAAATGAAAATAATCTTCAGAGTAATCGACAGTTTAAAAGATAAAGGTGTCAACACCTAAAACTCTCCCCTTGCCATTATCGAGGATCAAGGTTCAAGGCTTTTATTAGTCATACGTACATAGCTACAGTGTAGTTAGGACGATGAAAATCTTAGGTCACATGCTCCTCCAACAGAACAACACAATAACACAGAAAAACTGAAAAAATAGTGCAAGTAAATAAAAAAATAAAAATAGTGCAATAAGAGTCTATATACAAGTGAATGGAATATGATATATTGGATAAATAATTTCTAAGTTGCAGCCAGATTAATATTATGGATGTTGTTTCAAAAGTTCAGGTGTTTAATAGTCTTATGGCCTGTGGGATGAAACTGTCCCTAACCCAAACACTATTCATTGTTTGATACTAAAATGTGTTGGTGTGTTTTGTTCTATATGAACACGCATCACTAGAAATACATCCTCATCAACATGTGGGGAGCAATGCGTCAGAAATTGGTGACATGTGTGCTCTACTGGAAACAGTATGAAAAAGTAGTCCAATTGGACCATGATAATATTAGCCTCAAATATCATTTTATCTAATCCCCATTTGTATGTGACTGATTATGGCAATTGGAGGTCTAACCAAATTCTTTTCTAATCATTACCAACTTTTTTTCTTGTAATTTCTAACTACTCAGGGATATCAACATCCATTTAAATGTTATCACCTTAGTGCAGAAGCTAAAAGGCGCGTTCACACCGCAGTACTTTTCCCACTTTAGTTCCGATTATAGTTCCGAAATGTCGCGTTCACACCAAAAAGAGCTGGAACTAAAATTAGCGCATCAGAACCTTTTTTTACCCCCTTTTCTGTCCCTGCTAGAGAGCAGGTACTTTCGTGGGAGAAAAAGGTTCCTATGTCTGATTGGCTGGGCGGAATGCAAACCACGCCCCGTAAAACTCCCAAAAAGTTGTGTGAAGCCGCCATTTTATTATCCTCGCATTAGCATTATTAGCATTAGCCCAGCGCAGAAACGCAGAAAGACTAATTTATGGCAACTCAAAAGAAAACATGGGAGCGGTGGAGATGAGGAGGTGTCGGCGTTCTGGCGATTTACTCTGAAGGCTTCAGTAGAAGCTGCTGGGACTCCCAGCAGCTTCTACTGAAGCCAGTCCCCAACTCCGGGGACTTCCGGCCGGGGACTGGTTCCCCACCCCTGCTGTAGATCAACATGGTAACTAAATCTAATCTTGATCTGGGGAAGTCTATATTCAGATTAGGGATGTCTTGAGTTGATATTTATAATGTATAGCAACCTTGCAGATCCACTGACCTTAGGCTGTATAAAAAGCACTGGCACACCTCTCTTTACTAAATGGGTTTGCTCTTCAAGAGACTTGTTCGGACTAATCGTTAAGATATGCTTTTCGTTCACCATTTTCATTCTAAAGTTTCTCCAAATCCTCCTCCCCTTTTTAAAATTGATTTATATTAATTCTGTCAACACTTGTCCTGTGTGACATTGTTGTGTCCACAGCAACATTTTACTACCTCTTTTGTTTTCCACAAATCAGTCAAAGATATATTCCCATGTTTATTGATTTGTCTTTTCTTGGTCTGTTGCCCACTGGCTATTAAAGCTGGCTTAATGAATAGCAGGTATACTGTACATTATCTACACAATTGTATGCATCAATACGAGCCTGTTAAGTGCAACGAATGCCTTTCATACAACATATCCACTACAAGTTTTGTGAGTTTGTATTTTAAGACAGTATTGGTGGGAAAATGTACATTTGCATTATACTTGAAATGCTGTTGTATCATTTTGATCATACAGCTGTGCATCCAGTTTCTCCCTAATGATTTGCCTGCTTCTGTGACCCAGTTAGGAGAACATCTGTCTCTGCTGCATTCAGTCTGTTTATCAGCAGATATGTTCATATAGCCAAATCGTTCTTCAGTTTTTGTCTACCGCAAAGGAGCATTCTGGGAACAGCTCCAATCTCCTCTACATAAAACACCGAACATTTATATAAATTGTTGGTACAAAAACACACATTACGTAGAAGAATGTATGTAATGGAAGCATGTTGAAAGAGTTATGGTTACCAAAGAGGAAAGACAATTCTTAGAAGTAAATCCTGCAAGAAATGGTATGTTGTAACTAGTCTAGGGCTGTACCCGAATATCCGAATATTCGTTCGTTGGAGTACTATTCGGGTTTCAATTTTGTTATTCGGATATTCGTTTTTTTGTTGTTGAATTTTTTGAAAACTCCAATATCAACGTAAGAGCTTGTGCCTCTTCGGGGGGTGCTAACACTTAACCATAAACTTTATTGTTTACTTTCTCCGTCTTTATATGTAGATATGACTTTTTCTCCGTTAATCTCTGTCACGTTGTTTCCATAGCAACAACAACTTCCTGTCAACAGCACTAACTCTCCTTCAAAATAAAAGCATGTCCATACAAAATAGGAAGCCAAGCCAAATTACACTTAAGACATATACAACTGCAACGAAAGTAACAAACACAATGCAATATCCTTTTCAATTTCAAAGAACACAAATTGGGTTATTTACATTAACAAATAACTATAAAACAACAATATTGTAGAATAACAAAATGAATGCCGTGAATAAACTGAAATACACGTGTTGAAGCGGTTCGCTGCTGATTACTACGCACCCCCCCCGCGCGGGCCGAATATTCGCTGCTGATTACTACCGAATATCCGGAGCCCGAAAAATGGTATTCGGGACAGCCCTAGTTGTAATATTTCTGCTAGAAGCTGCCTCCATACTGTACTACAGCCTAACTGATGTTATGTGCTGTAGGCTGGGGAAATGCATTCACTCCAGGCTACACACTGTACTGCTTCAGGCAAAATACCTCAGCACAACGGTAACACATCAGCACATCATATTCAGCCTTTAAACAAGACATGCAAAAGTTATGCTGAAGAATATTTAATCTGGCTACTAAATCAAGCTTCTATTATATTGTATTTTAATAGTTCAGTTATATGATATCAACACTGAACTGTTTGTATTAAACGTTCAAATGAAAAGCACTAAGAATGTTTAATACGGTTTGGGACAATGATTGGGCTCAGCTCATTCATATTCAGATTCTGCCAGATTCACTGCAGAAGAAAATGCAGCAAATAAAGAAACTTGAACTCAGACTGATATGACGCATCTGTTAGATTAGTTCCTAAAGAACATCAACACGTTGATTATATCCTTAATTATCCTTATTTAATCTGGATTTGCATGTTGTATGTGGTTGACGGCTTCACGGCTTGAATTGTGATGATAACTTGTTATAAGACAGGTATCCCAGGTTGATTTCCGAATGGTCCTGTCATCAGAAGACACAGCATCTCTCTAAACAGACTTAGCCCTTTATCCACAAATTGGACTATTTTGGGTCTGCTTTACAGTCAGTTGGGAGCGATCGCAGGTCAAATCAGCTTTCAGTGCCTCATGCATTCCACACATATCTTAAGTGCTCTTGATCAGATATGTTCTCCTGTTCAGTCTGCATAGTAGCATATCAAACTATTTCATTTCCATTGACCACACTCAGTCCTAAATAAATACAATTTAAAAAAAAAAAAAAAAAAAAAAGGCCGTCCTCTTTTCTGTCTACCAGACTAACATGGACACAGATTTTCTAATTGGTCTTGTTTATTATTCATGTAAGGATCCTTCATGTTATTATTGTGGTGTGGTTGTCTTACATAATCTGCAACTGTACAAGAAATAAAATGACAATTACATCTGCATACAAGTAAATGGCCCTCCAGTGCGGTCAATGATGTAAGAAGTGAACACATTAGTGGACTCGACCTCTAATAGTTGCTGGAGTCATTGGGTTTTGGGTGTAATCACTTTTTTTTTAGAGCTGTTAATTTGTGAAAGGATCGCCCAAGCAGCATTTTAGTGCAAATTGTGAACAGCTCACAGTTGGTGAAGGCTGCCAGTATAATTCAAATGATATTAAATCTGGCTTGTGTGCAAAGGCAAAGTGGTGTATTTAAGCCCATAAAGAAGCTCCATATTTGGCTTCAAGTTGCTGCAGTGTGCTGGGATTTAAACGTGCTGAAAAGACTACGTAATCTATGGTCAGCACCTTGTTAACTGACCCTAATACACTATCGCCAGCCTGCAATGTGAGCAATTACAGTTTTAGTAAACCTCTTGTGTTTAGCTTTGTTGTTAACGTCAGTTTACCACTTGTACTAAAGAACCTGTGAGTCTTATCCGTTCCAACCCTTGATCTGCGTGTATCTCCTTTCAGAGTTGATTGGACGAACACACCTTTAAACTGCAGAGAGTACCAGTGTTTGTGTTTGCTCACAGCGTCATATATAACTGCAGTCTAAGAACAAGCCAAATTAGATTTTAGTGTACGGTGTTCTGCAAAGTCTTATTAGTAGAGCAGAGGAACAGCATGGCCAGGACAAGGAATAGAGAAACTGGTATGATTTATACTCAATTAGCCTATTCATAGAAAATAATAACATTATTACCATAGCAAACAAAACAAACAAACGGCTCTGTTCCGTGCCTTCATTTCTTTGATTGACTTTATAAAGAACCAAAATAAGCATGATTTTGATGAGAAAGGCCAGTTAAATATGTTATTATACTATTAGGTTATTATATCAGTATTTCTATAAGGTTCTCACCTGCACCATTCGGTCGAATTTCTCCTTAAGCATAAGTTTGAGCATGATGGCCTTTTCTTTGTGTTTTAATTTATTTTGGGATGATTTTCCCTTTAAAAAAACAACCAAGTCAGTCATTCTGGAGTGTCAGATTCAATGCATGAGAGTTTGCAGCCCTGAACAGTTGTGAGCACAACTCTAATTGGTATTTCGAGTCCTGATGCATATCTATAAACGTTCAGAGGTGTCAAGGTTTCGGTGGTCTAAAAGTGTCCTTTAAGCTCCACTAATATGTTCTTATCAAAATTAGCCATTTCAAAGTAAAATAGCAAACAATTTGCTTCAGAGAGATACTGTAACCACTTTTGCAGTAATATACAGAATACAAATCAGCTACTAGCTTTTTAGATGAAAATGTATTGTTTTGTGAGCAAACAATTACTGATACAGAAGCACTTAAATCTTATGGTGCACAATACAAAGTGACTTCCTTGTTGATAGATCTCATTTCAGCAAGGGGCAGGTAATTTCCTTTAACACATCTCCTGTGGTTTCACAGTTTCTCTGCAGGCCACTGAGGCTGAGATCTGAATGAAAAGCAAGTAGCTGCAAAGGAGATGAAGCTGTCAGTGTAGCTGCATGCCCCCCTCCCCCACTGTGCCAACACCCCCAATTTGAGAATTGACGCTTCTCATGCCCTATTCCAGTATGTGACGGAGGGGACTTTTGTTTGGCAAGATCCAGTATCCCAAATAGATGAGATGAGGATAAAAGCGCCCAAGAGGAAGTGGAGCAGAAACTAATGGGTGTCAGTGCAGTCCAATGCAGCTGATTGGGAGACCCGTTGAATAAGTCAAAAATGCTCTTTCTCTCTTGGTCACTCTCCTCCCCTATTTTTTTGCCTGTTTTTATCCCTCCCCTTTTCCTGCTCTATAGCTCTATTGTCCTCTGAATATAGTCGATGGATGATCCTATCTTTTAGCTGGCTCAGTTAGTCTCAGATCAGCTGGCAAATGCTAATACTTTTGCAGACATGCATGCACAATACTCTGTTGTGTTGTACTCTGACCCGAGAGGCAAGATTAATGCGCATTTCAAAACTGAGTTTTGTTCAGGTTTTTGTATTTTAGACGAGCTGAATTACCTTCAACTCGACAGATTTAGAAGATTTCCATGTGCATTACAATGTATGTTGCACCAATGCTGAAACAGTGTAGTCTTCAGTAGCAAAACAAATACACCTACATTTTTGTCAAATTGTTAATTTACCACCTGTATGACAGTGACTGGGTTCTTCATGATAGAAAATAAATGTATTTTTCGTTTCTATGGTTCTGTCCTCAGACAGGAATAACTTGGCACATGAGGCGCTTAATATAACCTAAACCCTAATCAATTCCACCCCCATTTAACAGCTTTATGTAGTTAAAATAAGTATTTGCTGACGAATCAAATTATTTTGTTGAACATTAGCTTCCACAGGTTCAAAGCTAACCCCGAACAGCATCATTTACCATGATGAGAGAAAGAGTTATTTTGACCTAAATCTCAGTGCTAATTTACATGCACCATGGAGCATACACTTAAACTATTCCCATTATTACATTTAGATTGAATTTGTACTTTTTCGACTGGTTGGTGCTTATGTTTTGTCTTTGTCCATTTTCCATCAGGCAAGAACATTATTGCTGTTGGATCTATCCTCTCCTATCCACTGGGATCCAGGCGCTTGAGTCCTAAATGACAAGGTATGTATTCATGTCAAGTTTTTTTTCTATTTTCAGCACGGTTCTTTGTCCTTTTTTCATTTACATTTTTGTCTCTTGAAGCAAATGCGTCTACAAGAACATTGTGTATCTCAGGGAAGCAATATATTTTTTTCTCAAACATTGGTTCATCTCAAACAAGAAACAACAAGAGTGCCCAACCCTGTTCTCCTGGAGGCTTAGTGACATGATACACCTGCCAAACTAGCTGAAATCAGCATCCTATTTCCTCTTTAAAAGGTTACAATTATTTTGGAATATGCTCTATTGAAAATACAATATCTAGTATGTGGGTATAACTCAAGAATTCCAGTAAGATGGATTTGATACAAAATGGATTCATTTACTCATCACAAAATATTGTTTAATTGACTGAAGAAGATGTCAACCTAAATTCTTCCAGAACAACAGATGACGGTGAAGATCTGACTACCTTATGATTGGGAAGTGCTTCTATTGACTTATTGTCTATGGTTCTACTGACAGGTTTGGCTTTCACAGCTCAAGGTGTGTTTGCTTAGTTAACTCCACATTGACTTGTTTAACTACTTAGTTTTTCCTGTAACTCTGTTTGCATAATTCCCACACCACTGCAGGGTTTACATCGATCTACATGTAATACCCGTATCTAGCCAGTGTCAACATACTAGCCTCCTATTTCCACATTCCTTTCTTTTTCTTTATTTTTCCCATAAATAAAACCAAATGACATGGACATAAATCAATGTATAAACTGCTTCATGATGATTCTGCTGCTGTTCGTAAAGCACTCTTTTTAAGCAATGTGATCAATACACGTCTCAGTTTAGGTCTGATACAGGCAACCATTCTCTCACACATTCAGCAGTGACCAGTGCTTTCTACCCGTGGGTTGGGCACATCAACCAGTTTCTTTGATTGTATGTGACACCAGTTTACAGAGGGTATGAGCTCATGTCTCATTGAAAATCCTCCTGTCATCCACACTGCGCTAGAGCCATTTAGACATTGAAAGTATTAATGTATTAATGTTTCATTCATAGAAGAATGTCATTTGTACCGTGCTGAATTATTAGTGATTTACATTTTTCCAAGGCCAGTCTTAAAGTGTGCAGGACTTTATTTTTTTTAGAGTTGGCACTGTTGTTACATTTTTTTGTTTTGTTGAGATACGTCCAGTTCCTTCTTTTAAATAATGTGTTTCTTCAAGTATTTTCTAAAATATGCCACGGATTATAAAATGTGCACCCAGAGGAAGGACATTTTTGTGTGAACTCTTTCTGTTGCATCAAGCTTGGTCGCTTGCATTTGTGCTTGAGACAGATTTCTCATTAGTTGGTTCCTCATACTGAGTACTAGTTCTTGAAATGAATTCATCAGTATAACAGCTCTGAATGGTGTCAGCATGAATTATCCTTATGCATGGGATTTCATATCTTATCAGAACTTCTAATTGATTATTCCACGCACGAAGTTCCAACTGACAGCTTTTAGCTCTGAGACAATTTTGCTATTATTAGCCCCTCATTCTTTTTTCTGGGTAATGAGGTGCAGCCCCTTGTCTGGCTTTGCAAGACTTAAATTGCACAATTGTGTCTGACTTTTGCTTGAATTGTGATGTAACTTTTTGGACACGTTGAGTCCACGTAAAGCTGTCAGAGTATTATCATCTTTCAATTGAAGTCCTGTTTCTGACTTCCTGTCTGACCCGCATTCGTTCTGCTTTGGCTCTGTTTTGGGTCTCTACCAATTCTAGAGGGAAAAATGTGGCTCTTTAGCTGTAAAGAAATCTCCATTATGTTCACCAGATAGTGGCTAAATTAATCTGTCTGCTGTTTAAGTGTCAGACCTTCCAGAAAACGTAATAAATGGCAACACTATGAGAGCAGTGAGAGTGAACCAAAAGCATAAAGCTGGAGCTGGACGGCTTCACAATAAGCTCAAAATCGTGGTAAAGTCAAAGGGAGCTGCAGCGACCCATTTTGAATTGTCGCATGGTTGCGTTGTAATTTGTACATCATATATACCAGGGGTACTCAAACTTTTTTTATTAAAGGTCCACTTGTGAACTTTATACAAGGTCACTGGTCCGGATCAATGCCAGTAAAGTCACCCCCCCCCCCTGAAACGAAACTGAAATTAAGAAGCAGTTTCTTATGGCGCGCTATGCATGGGGCCCCCTTGAGGGGGTTTCCCGACATGTCGTTGCAGTAAATGAAAGGGTGTTTCATGTTGTCGTTGCTGTGGATCTTCTTAATCTACCTTCTTTGGGGGCCCCCTTCTGGTCCAAGCACTTGCCTGCCTTGCCTGTCGGCAAACGGCGCCGCTTTATACACTCACACATTCAATACATACATACAGTATGGTGGCTTGGCTGTTTGTCTGTAGTCAATGCCTTGAACCTCGGCAAAAAAGGCATTGGAAGCAATAGAAAGTCAAGGTAAACTTGCGGTTAACTTGCGGTCTGCAATGAGTGTCACGCTCGCGCACGCAAGTAAATATATATGCACGTTCATTCTCACTATGCGTCAGACACAAGACGCACGTACATAATGATGTACATTCATTTATCAGAATCAGATTTTTTTTTACATTTTTTTTTTATAATTTTTTTTTTTTATATAATGTGATTGATTTGCAGTTCGGTCCGGATCCGGAGTTTGAGAAGCCCTGGTATATACTATATGGTTAGGGTTAACAATAGCATATTTAAAGGTCCACCTTTTCATGTCTTTTATACATAAACATGTACCCCTCTGTGTAAAGAGATTCTGAAAGTTTCAGGAAAAAAGATTCGCTCACTTTTTGTCCTGATCCATTTATATAAAAACCTGTCTGAAAATGAGCTGATCAGATTTTGGCCACTTTATGATGTCATAACGATTTTTTCACCAACCAAGGTAACCCCCCCCGCCCCACACTTTATCACCTGAATCTCCTCCTAGAGCACCCTTAGCCGCGTTCACACCGGAGTACTTTTCACCGTACTTTTCGCGTTTAGTTCCGTTGGTACCCCTTATGTCGCGTTCACACCAAAAAGAGCACTTAATCTCGGGAACTTTTACCCCCATTTTTAGTGCCTGCTGAGAGATGGTACTTTCCTGGGGGAAAAAAGTGCCCCAGTTCTGATTGGCTGGGCGAATTGCAAACCACACCCCGTACAACTCTGAAATGTTTTGTAGAGCTGCCATTTTATTATCCTGGCATTAGCATTAGCATTCGCCCAGTGCACAAACGCAGAGAGACTAACTTATGGCAACACAAAATAAAACATGGGAGCGGTGGAGATGAGGAGGTGTCGGCGTTCTGGCGATTTTCTCGGAAGGCTGGGAGTCCCAGCAGCTTCTACTGAAGCCAGTCCCCAACTCCGGGGACTTCCGGCCGGGGACTCCGGGTGGCAGTATACGCCGTGAAGTTGTTTGCGGCCTGCCAGTAAACCCAAAGCAGAAGAAGACGAAGTGACGTCAGCGGCTCATTTGCGTAATCTTCCCTCAGGAAGAGTGCCGACACTAAATACGGCAAAGTACTTGGTGTGAACGCGCCTATTGTGTTCTTTTTAACCAAATATCTCTCAGAGGGGCGTGGGGAGTGGCTCATTATTTTCATCTAAAGCAGGGGTGAGGTCATTTACAAACACACGCAAAAAAGAAAAAAAAATAAGAAATCTAGACCGCAAAATTGACCCTAACCCTAATTAAACAAGAGAGTGCCTGTTTTTCCTGGCCAAGGTCAGGGTCCTTGAACACAACACAAGCCTAACGTCATCACGTGGTATATGTCTCGTCTGACAGGGGTGCAGTTCTGACGGAGAGCACCAGAACGTCGCTCCGGCACTTCCAAAAATTGCAGTACCCATAAGGAGCCGCACACATGACGCAGTTTTTACGTGGCTGTGTCTTTAGTTGAAAGCCCAGTGGCGATCTGTCATACTGATCATACCAGTGGTTCTCAAATGGGGGTACGAGGACCCCTAGGGGTACGTTGGAGTATTGCAGGGGGTACGTGAGATTTTATTTATGTTAATGAAAAAAAACAACATAAGTAATGCATTTAAACAAACTACTAATAGTAGATTAACTACTTTATTCAAAAGTTTACAGTAATTCTGGATAATAAAATGGGAAAAATAAACGGGGTGCTCTCTTTTCCTCTCTCTCTCCTGACAGCCCGTCAGTCTCGTGCAGCTCGCTGAACCTGTAATAAGTGACCCGACAGTAAAGAATAAATATATTTATAACTCGTTTAGCTAGTTCCAGAGTAAATAAACTAGCTAAGTGTGTTAGGTCTAACTCTTAGTGTATTTTGCTCCGCTCACCGGTCCGTCACAGCGGGGGAGCTGTGATCTGGAAGAGCTGCGTGTCTCCGTCAGCAGCAGCTGATCTGATCTCTGATCTCTCTCTCGCGTCCGGTTATACTTCACTCGCGTTTATGTCCAAATCTATCAGATCTAGCTAGTTCTAGTTAATGATATGACTGCCTGCTTATCAAAGGACCTAAACAATAAGCCTTGCTTGGCAACGGCGTGTGGCCGCAAAGTATTGCGCAGCATTATGCATATGTTTATATGAGGGGTCAAAATCCCATGCTCATAAAATGCTCATATATATTTTTTCTCTTCATTCCCCACGCCCCAAAATAAATAAATATACACATTTTAGGAAAAGTAACGAAGTTTGAGCAGTGTGGGTTTTATATGAACAGAGTTACACATATTTCAAAACGCAAAGTGTAATAACTGCAGGTGCCTCCCTGTCACCGAGAATGACAAAGATCCTCAGTGAAGCGCAAGCCCATGTTTCTCACTAAATTAAGTACAACTTATTAAAAAGATCAGTTCAATGCAACTAATGTCGTCTTAGTGTTATTGCATGATGTTAAAATTGGTTTGCCATGAATTTAGTGATGGATTGTAAACATTTGAAATGTAGCATTTAAGTGTTTCTCAGTTACAAGGTTGTTGTTTTAATAAATCAGACACTGTTGGTGCAGCGCTGTACTGTACC